GAAAGCACTTGGGAGCCTGAGTCAGGAGGACACTGTGTGTTCAAGGCCAGCCTGAACTGCATAGGGAGACCTTGTTTAAAAAACAAAACAAAGCAAAAACACACTAAAAGTCCTCACAACTATATAGTGAATCCGTCTCTTAAAAACAAGACCAAGAGACAAATGCAGACAAACAGTATGACTGGAAAACCAACCCCAAGAGAACCACTATCACTTTACCAATCTCCCTCATTCAAGGAACTCAAGTAAAGCCAGGTCATTCACCATGAAGTCCAGTATGGTTACTCCTTCTCCTGCCTAAAAAATGTTATCTGGACTCTTCAACTTGCTAAGGAACATGATTCATCAAGAAAGAGATTAAAGCAAATGTTTCTTAAATGAAACTAAGTTATATACAGACTGTGAGATCTAGGCCTGCCTGTTTCCTGCATGTTTTATCTCCTCAGTCATTGCCTAAAGGACTCTGACAAATTGTAGGAATATGCAGGCACAGGCACGAGGCCCAGCTTCTCCAATGTTGTGGAAGGGGACTGAGTATTACAGGGCAGAGCCCTGTGCTCCCCTAGGCCACCTGGACAGAGCCTAGGAGAGTGACCTCCCAAGGTATATACATTGGACAGTTAGAGAAATTCATGCCACTTACAGATGATGGTGCTGAGAAACAATTTCACCTGATGAACAGCAATTTTTCTGGATATATTTTGGTCAAGTCCCAAAATGCAACCAAAATTTTGTTTCCAGGTCATGGAGTCATCATAGAATTTAGAGACCTAACAGGCACTGAGTGGATAGAAATGGCAAAAGCAGAGCCAGAATGTGTGTTCACCCATCCGAAATTCAAGTTAAGTATGGCCAGTCACTAACTCTTCCAAAACTATAAAGCCTTAAATTTAATTGCGGATGGAGGACCAAAATCAAACATGCATAAATTCCATTAGGAAACAAGCACCTGCTAAGAAGCAGGAAGACAAATTACAGAACAAACAACCAGGGGATGTGGAGGCTGCATTGTGTTTAGCAGTCTGTAGGAAACATGCAGGGGTGCCTTCAGGACTTGGCTTCCGGGTCTTTGCAACTACTCCTGCCCTCCCTGCCTCATAGGTATGGAGGCCACTTATGGTACTTCTTCTGAATAATATCCTTAGAATAGGCTTGTTTCTTAACTGAGGTACTAGAACTATGTAGTACAGGAATTATACGAGTAAAATTGCTCACTGTGGAAGACACCAGAGCTTACTGGTGCTGTTGCTGGTGCCTGAAAACCCTGATTTAATATCATATATTTCCAAAAGTAGAATTGCTGGATTGTTCTATTATTAATTTTTTTGAGGAAATTCTATACATTTTTCTAAAATGTTTGTGCCATCTTTTGTTCCCAGCAACAATGTGTAAGGGCTCTAATTTCCCTGAATCCATGTCAACACTTTTTATCTCTTGTCTTTTGATAATAGCCATTCAAATATGGGTGATATCTCTTGTGGTTTTGATTTGTGTTTCTCTGATGACTAATGATGTTGAACATTTAACATTCTTGCTGCTGGCCATATGTATGTCTTCTTTGGGAAAGTGTAAGTCATTGGACTATTTTTACATGCAATTTGTATTCTTGCTATGAGTTGTATGAATCCTTATGTATTTTGGATATCAGCCTCTTGTCAGATACATGATTTATAATTTTTTTTTCACTTTTAGGATGCCTTTCAATTCTGCTGACTATGTTCTTTGATGCACTAGTCCCACTTGTTGAATTTTGCTTTTGTTGCCTGTACTTTTGTTGTAACATAAAAGAAATCACATCCAAATCCAATGTCATGAAGCTTTCCATTTAGTCTTTTTCTTCTAGGAGTTTTGTAGTTTTAGGTCTTATAATTGCAGTGTTATATCTTTATAGGGGTGGATAGTGGAAAATCAAACCTCAGGGGTACTCTGTGACGGAACTACAGCTGCAGCCATTTAAAAAATTTTGAGACAGAGTCTGGCAGACTTGACCAGGTGGGACTGAACTTGTTGTCCTCCTGCCTTAGCCTCCTTAAGCACTGGGATACAGGCATTCACCCAGAACATCAGCTGTTCTAATCCATTTTGGATGAATTTTTTTTATATGATGTAAGGTGAGGATTCAACCATACCCTTTTTTTGGTGAATTTATAGTGTTTCACAGTACCATTTGTTGAAGAATATATTTCTTATTTTGAGTGGTTTTAGCATCATCAAAGACTGTGCCATATCTTTTGGATTACTGTAGCTTTGTGTTATAGTTTGAAATCAGGAAGTATGAGCTCCCCAAAGCTCTCCAAACTTGTTTTTGGCTATTCAAAGTCCATTAAAATTCTTTATGAATTTTAGAATGAAGTTCCATATATCTACAAAAAGTACCACTAGGGTTTTGATAGAAATTGTGATGAACCTGTAGGTCATTTTGATGAATGTGAACATGTAAAGATATAAGCTTCCTAGGACTTCTGAGGAGATGGTACAGCAGTAAACAGCAACAAATACAACTCTCCAAGATTTGGAATCTAGACAAGAGAAAATTATAAGTGGGAGAAGAAAAAAAGGCATTTGGGCCCTAGGATCAAGAAAGGATCTAAAGGGAAAATTAGAACCCACAGAGAAATTGGAGACAGACCATAATGTGGAAAAAGGAGGGGGCAATCTATACTTCTCTAGATCCTGGTTCATGGTATGAGACAGGAAGATTGAATCATTTCTTAGAAAATCAAGCAACTCCAGAGTACATCAGGGACAAATGCCTCAATGGAATGGAGCAGTAGATAGATGTTGTGTGCTGCAAGATTTGGTGAGTAACTCTAATCCTTATGACTGCCATATCCCCTGGAAAGATTGCTTGGTTGGATGCCACACTAGGAAGAGGCCAACTGAATCTGGGACTCAGAGCACTGCAGGTTGACTTCATCTTAAGCCTTCCTGAGTGAAACTCCCATGGTGACTGGATGAAGGACAACCATAGGAGATGTATATGGTGAGGGAGCCATGGACAGGTTGGCAAGAGACATCTAGAGTGTTATAAGATAAACAACTCAGGGTCCACTACTACAACCAGAGCCCAGTTTCAGCATGAATGTCTTATTGTTTCTAAAGTCCCAGATCTGAGACCCCAGTCTAATCCTATTGATAGTTTGCTGGGATTGTCCAGCATGGATCTTAGTTTGGACTGCCTACCTTATCCACCAACAAGAGCAGAGTCACACATTGAATTGTATACTGCCACAAAGTTGTAGATTGCAGAAGATAATCAACTACTTGCTCAAAATCACAGAGCATTTTCTTTCTTTTTTCTTGACCTTTAAATTTTTTTTGTTGGCATATTGTGATTGTTTTTGCTTTTTTATTATTGTGAACATTGTTTTAAGTTTTTTGTTTTGCTCTTTTCCCCTTCTTTCCTCCCTTCCTGTCTTCTTTACAAGTTTCCCAAGGCTTGAGTAATCTCCTTTGTCCTTCAGCCTTACTTCTCATCTCTGTTTTTTCATTTCTCTGTTTTTCCTCTTCTTTTAAATTTTTCTTCTGTTAGCATAAAATCACTTTTTTAAAAAAGGATTTATTTATTTGGTGCAGGGTCTCACCACACAGCTTGGACTTGTAGGGATCCTCCTGTCTCAGCCTCCCTAGTGCTGAGATTACGGGCATGTGCCACCATGCCTGGTTTCAGTGGCTAAAACAGTGTGGAGCCAGTGTGACATGTCATACCAGGGATCAAACCTCAGTCCTTGTGCTTGCCAGTCAGGCACTTAGACTGCTGAGCTTTCTCCCCAGCCCTAAAGTTGCTTTATTGAATGGATATTTACTATATGTAATTTTCTTATTTGTCTTAGATTTTGTTATATAACTATGTATCTTGTACCAATAGTTAAAGTGGAAAATTATTAGTTATCGCTGTCATTTTCTGTTATGTGTTTGATATTATTATTATTTATACTACTTCAGCCAAGGTGACATAACTGCAATCAATCTTCCTTATATGCCAATACCTAAATTGTCATAAACAATATTACTAGGAGTCATAAACAGTATTATAGTTAAGTACCAAAGAGCTAAGTGCTGGACTAAACAGACTGAAACCTTTCATTCCTAATCAACAGAGTCAGGACCCTGGGACAGACTCAAAGTCCAAAAGCCAGATATGCCTAGACTACATCTCTGGAAAGTAGTCATTTCCCAAAGAGGTCTAGTAATAAAATACTAGTAATAAAACTACCTATAATTTACAAGCTTTAATGCCAAAAACAAAGAAAGAAGTAGAAAATGAGGCAACACGGAAGCAAGATACAATACAATACCCCCAATCAATGCAAGGTAAATCCAAGGGGAGTTGGGGGAGAAGAAATCAAAAGCCAGAGTCAACCAATGTGGAAATAGAATTTTATCAGATCTGGAGGACAAGACAGCAGTTAGCAATCATTAAATAAAAAGGCTTCTTAAAATAGTAAGGAAGGACAAAAGAATCAACTCAACAGCAACTAGATGATGCAAAGAAGACTAACATAAGATAACTAGAATCAATGAAAAAAATCAGAAGAAAGCACAAAGGGAATAAATAATCTGTTCACAGAAGCAATAAAGAATTTTCCAAGCATGGAAAAAGAATTTGACATACAGTAAGTGAGGCATATAGAACTCTAAATAGCCATGATCAGAAAAAACTACACCAAGGCATATAATAGTCAAGAGTCCAGAAATTCAACACGAGAACAGACTATTAAAAGCTGTTAGAAAAAAGAAAGAGACCACCTAGAAAGGAAATACCATCAGAATCACAGAAGACTTCTCAACATAAATCATCAAGTGAAGGAGAGCTTTGGGTGAAGAATTTCAAACTCTAAGAGAAATTAACCTCCAACTGAGGTTGGAGTACCCCACAAAACTGTCTTTCAAAATTTATGGAAAAATAGGATTCTTTCATGACAAAGAACAACTGAAGAAACCCATGACCACCAACTAGCACTCCAAAATGTTCTGAAGGTTATTATAAAGTAGACAAGAACAACTCCAAGAATGCCAATAGACTGAGTCCATAATGTCAGACAAATAATTAAATAGAAAGGAAAGATAGGAACCAACAGGAAAATAATATGACAAGGATAAGTCAATACTTGTTGATTATAATTTTATGTGGGTGGTCTCAATTCACCAATCAAAAGAAGCAGATTGGTAAAATGGAACAAAAAAGATTCAACAATATTCTACATACAAGAAATGCACTTAACTCAGAAATTAACAGATAAAAAGTTGAAGGATAGAAAAGAGTACTCCAAGCAAGAGAAACCTGAAAAAAATCAGGGGTAGCTATTCTACTTGCAGACAAAGTGGATATCAAGCCAAGACCTATAAGAGAGACCAAGAAGATCACTACATCCTTGTGAAGGGAACAATCCAACAGGAAGAGATAACAATCATAAATATATATGTATCAAATAGTGGAGCAGTCAACTATGAAAAATAAACACTAATGAATATGAAAAATCAGATAGGCAGTAATGCAATTATAATGGGGGACCTCACCACCTTAGTCACAAATAGGTCAACTACACAAAAAAAAAATTAACAAAGAACTATCAGAGCTAAACCAAATGTATAAACAAATAGATTTAGTACATA